AGATTTGGTTCCTTATCTCTCTAGACTTAGTTCCTTATCTCTCTAGACTTAGTTCCTTATCTCTCTAGATTTGGTTCCTTATCTCTCTAGATTTGGTTCCTTATCTCTCTAGACTTAGTTCCTTATCTCTCTAGACTTAGTTCCTTATCTCTCTAGACTTAGTTCCTTATCTCTCTAGACTTAGTTCCTTATCTCTCTAGACTTAGTTCCTTATCTCTCTAGATGTGAAAAAACTTCTCTTAAAAAGTTGTCGCCATAATTTTGGATTACCCTTTTGGATTACCCTTTTGGATTACCATTTTGGCTTCTTAGATTTTGGATTCTTCTTAGATTCTTCTTAGAAATGCCTCCAGAAAATTTAAAACATTGATTGTTTTTAGTGTAAGATTGATTTAATATAAGAAACTAAGTTTCAGCTCAATCATCATGCAGTTTGAAGACATCTCAGATTCGGAGCCCGGTTGCAGCTCGATGGAAGAGGAAAAGTGGGCTTTATCTTTAGCAAAAGGATACAGTAATCAATATTTTCAATAAATAAATCAAATCAAATCAAATTAAATTAAATTAAATTAAATTAAATCAAATTGAATTATATAAATACTTTATTCAGAAAGAAATAAAGTGCGAAAACGACATGAAAAATGTACTAGATAAAAGATGACAAAGTCACTTAAAATGCAACGAAATAGCCCTTTTAAAATCAGACACGGTGGAGATCAAACGCAACCTGTCGGGAAGGGCATTCCAAATTCACACGATTTACGAAAAAAGCTCTAGAGGATTTAGAGAAGGCAGATTCGGGATGCAAGATAAAAGAGCCACGCCTAGTCGCCAAAAGCCTCGAGTTTAGTCGAAAAAGATTTTTAAAAAGAGGGTTTTGATGTTTTCCTTTTACAATTTTAAAGCACTCAACCAAATCTATGATAAGACGGCGTTGTTCTAAGGTTTCAAGTGAGAAAAGTTTCAATCTATGTTTATACCTGACGGATGAGTAGTTAGCAAAATCAATTTTGAATAGTGCTATTCGAGTAAAAATCAAATTGAATCAAATTGAATCAAATTAAACCAAATTGAATAAAATAGAATCAAATTAAATCAAATTTTAGTATCTCGTTGCTAGTTTAGCAAATGAAATTCTAGTGTTTTGGTGGACTCGATGCCGGAGGATGATCCAAACGGGAACGTCAACGTTCAAATGGGAGCCGCTGTGCCAAGGTGAAGCTTTTAGTGGTTTTCAGTTTTTCTAGTTGTTGTTGTTGTTGTTGTTGTTGTTGTTGTTGTTGTTGTTGTTGTTGTTGTTGTTGTTGTTGTTGTTGTTGTTGTTCAGCCAGTCTCGGGTGTCTCCGGCTCGATGAATTGACGCGTTGTCGCGTTGAAACACGTAGGGAACGCTTGGATTTAGAAGCAAAAACAGCAGCAAGTGATTGTTCAACACATCCTCTTTTGTCCCTGGTTTAGTTCCGGGTCAAATGGCTCAAAACCGAGGCGTAAATCCAAAAGCATCCCTAGTATAGCACCCCCAAAAGCATCCAAAGCATCCCAAAAGCATCCCTGGGTTTGGCTTTTGTGAAGGCTTTGGTTTTGGCTTTGGCTTTAGCGTTTGTGAAGGCTTTAACGACTAAAGGCTTACATTGTCTGCTATGGAACAAATGGCATAACCTTTGAACTTGAAACGAGATTTGAGATTGAGGAGGTCAGGAGATCGAGCGGGCCAGTCCAAAGTTGCAATGTTGTTGTTGTTCTTGTTGTTGTTGTTGTTGTTCTTGTTGTTGTTGTTGTTGTTGTTCTTGTTCTTGTTCTTGTTCTTGTTCTTGTTTTGTTGTTGTTCTTGTTCTTGTTCTTGTTCTTGTTCTTGTTCTTGTTCTTGTTGCTGCTGTTGTTGTTGTTAAAGTTGTTAAAAAGTTATCGTCTACTTGTAAGGCTTATAAAAGTCTATATAAATATGAAAACTAATATCATACTAATATCATACAAATATCATTTAAACCAAAATTCAGATGGGGCCCACAGCACGCCGGAGCCCGGGAACTCGCTGGAATGTACAGCAGAGGTGAGAAAGATCAATTCATAAGCAGATTTCCATAGAAACTGTATAAATCTTACAATCTCAATAGAGATTTAATTGTCTGTCGTTGTCTGTTTGACTTTTCACTGAACGGACATTCTTCAAGCCTTTCCATAAACAATTCCATAATAAATCAACTCCGAAAATCCTTGAATTTTCAGAGAAACGTCTCCAAGAGCGATTTTCCATAGGCGCCTCGTCGACTCTCTTCACTTTCGTCATTTTTCGTTTGATCTCCACGTGGTCTTCTGACAATTGGAAAAGCGTTCCGATTGCCGCTTTTCTTGGGATACTCACCGCTGGTTTGTTTCGGGTTGAGCTGGTGATTTGAAACAGACTCGTTCTGGTAGACAGACTAAATTTTATAGCTCTTCTTGTCTGTAAATTATTTGTTGTTTACGGTAGCCCTTGGTGTGCTCACTATGTCAAAAATGTTAAAACTACCGTAGCTATCTAGGTTTCGAGAAACAGGCTTAAGCCTGGGTTAGCCTGAGCCTGAGCTATGGGCTTAAGACTGAGCTATGGGCTTAAGACTGAGCTATGGGCTTAAGACTGAGCTATGGGCTTAAGCCTGGGTTACGGGCTTAAGCCTGGGTTACGGGCTTAAGCCTGGGTTACGGGCTTAAGCCTGGGTTACGGGCTTAAGCCTGGGTTACGGGCTTAAGCCTGGATCTTAGTATGAAAGGCTTAAGCCCCAATCATAATATAAAAGTTCTAGCACCGTTACGGTAAACAATCCCAAGATTTCGTTCAGATTTCGCCTCTGGACTCGTGCATTGGGGCGCGGACACTTTCGGCAGCGCCGAGACATTCATCGGAAGGGTTTGTGATGGAAATAAGCAAATAATCTAAATACTTTAAAAAATGAACAATAAGAACAATAAGAACAACATCTTAGCAGTTCTAAATCTCTTTCAGAATTTCATTCGTCCTTTTCGAGAGCATCACGTCGACCCGACAGCCATCACTCGCCACGATTTCATTGAGGTGATTTGATTGATTGATTGATTGATTGATTGATTGATTTCATTCAGAAATCATTAATAAGTACTTAATTCAATAATTGAACTAACTATTGGTTAATTCAAAAATACTAATCAAAACTGATTAAACCTCATAAAAGCTTTTGCTTTTGCTTTTGCTTTTTGAAAATCTTCAATTTCCAGTGTAATGGCGACAATTTTCTCCTTTGCATTCCAAATTTGGCCCACATTTTGTATCAGCATTTCACCTACACGAGAGAAGAGGTGAAATTTGAAAAAGAAATTAGCATTAAAGAAATTAGCATTAAAGGGGGGAGGTATTAATCGCGGCCGGGTGACGATAAAAATTTTTTTTACGGCAACCACCTATTTTTTTTATTTTAATATCGCTGATTTTATTATAAAAAGAATAAAAATCAGTGATTTGATGGGTTTACAAATTTTGGAGACAATTTTTGGAGACACTGCAAGGCTTGGAGAAAAACAAGATCGTCACTCATCAGACACCTCAGCTAAAAGGCACCTATTTGAGAAAACTAAAACGACAAGCGACCGCAAATGGAAAAAAGATCTAATTGTGTCAATCAAAGCGCTGAAGGCGTCCTACGGTGGAGGAGATCCAGTCACTTCTGGTGAAGATGCACTGGAAAAACTCAATCGATCTAAACTGAGCTGAGGTGTCTGATGAGTGACGATCTTGTTTTTCTCCAAGCCTTGCAGTGTCTCCAGAAATTGTCTCCCAAAAATTTGTAAACCCATCAAATCACTCTAGCCGGGTGATTTTTATTCTATTTATAATAAAATCAGCGATATTAAAATAAAAAAACAGGTGGTTGCCGTAAAAAAATTTTTATCGTCACCCGGCCGCGATTAATAGCCCCCTTTAAAGAAATTAGCATTTAAAGATTAGCATTTAAACATTAGCATTTAAAAATAGCATTTAAAAGTCTCTAATCTCTAATTTAAAAGACACAACTCATTTCTAGATCCACGAATGGGCCTTCATCCATTGGTATTTATTGCTGTTGGGTGTTTATGTGGCAATGACGAATCAGGTGTGTTAAAATGCGATTTCAAGTCATCAAAAGAGCTCCAAAAGAGCTATTGCCTATTATTAGCCAAAAAAACAAATGAAAATCGAAATCTAATATGTAAAATTATTAGAAAAACAAAAAAGTGACTTGCTAGGGAAATGCTTCAACTTATCACCGATTCTCCAAACCGGACGCAGCTAAAAAGCGCCCCAAAACGCCCCAAAAAACATATTTTCATCTTTTCCCAGTCAAGGCCAGTTTTTGAGAAAAACGCGTGCAAATTTGTGGCTAATTTCCGCTAAAAACTGTCAAGAATTTTTTCCAAAAACCTCGCAAGTTTGGTTTTCGCAGTTTCGCAAGTTTGGCTGGCAGAGGAATCGAACCCGCGAGCAGGGATGGCTTCGCGGCTTTGTAGACTAGCACACTATCCCCTAGGCTACCGGGGGTCTTCCTCCCTCTCCACTTGACGCCCCTTATATGCCTTTAACCATCTGTTATGGCTTTCTCTTATATAAGAGGGCGTCAAGCGGGGAGCGAGGAAGACCGCCGGTAGCCCAGGGGATAGTGCGCTAGTCTACAAAGCTGCGAAGCCATCCCCGCTCGTGGGTTCGGTTCCTCTCCCAGCGAAACTGCGAAACCAGACTTGCGGAATTTTTGGAAAACAGTTTTTGAGGTTCTAGAAGTGTCTTAACACATGTATTCGGCTTATAATACTTATAGGCCAGGCAGAAACCGTCCAAACTGGATTCTGAAGGGGATTTTTGAACTTTGCACGCGTTTTTCTGAAAAAATAGGAAAAGATATATTTCTTAGAGTTCGACAGAGGCGTTTCGTAGCTAGGTCCAGTTTCGGAGATCGATGGCAAGTTTAAACAGTTCCCTAGTTAGAAAAACAGTTCCCTGTCTTATAGACGTATCAAGGTTTAATCAATTTCCCCAAAGTGTGGGCATAGTGTAGTGAAGAGTGTGATCCAACGGGCGCTCCATCCGTCCACCAATCACCCGAACTCCATTTCGGACGCGTTTGAATCACTGAGAGTAAAGCCGAGTCGATCTCGTTGCTGAAAAATGTAAATTGAGCTTACACGAGCAAATCTGACTCTATAAAGACATTTTTGACTTAAGAAAAGAATCTCAACTATTAAATCTTGTTAGTAGAAGTGGTTGAAAGAGAATGTTGTCATTGTTGGAGAAGTTGAAGTCATTGAATTCTTCATAATGCATACTTCATCATGCATACTTCATCATGCATACTTCATAATCCGTACTTCATAATCCGTACTTCATAATGCACAACTTCATCACTTTCAACCAATTAAATCCGATTTCCAATTGCTAGAGCCAACAAAATGAATCCTGTCATTGCCATTGAACAGTAGTTAAATTAAATTTAGCTACTTAAATTTAGCTACTTAGATTTAGCTACTTAGATTTAGCTACTTAATTTTAGCTACTTAATTTTAGCTACTTAGATTTAGCTACTTAGATTTAGCTACTTAGATTTAGCTACTTAACTTTAACTACTTAACTTTAACTACTTAACTTTAACTACTTAACTTTAACTACTTAACTTTAACTACTTAACTTTAACTACTTAAACAGTAGCTAATTAACTTTAGCTACTTAAACAGTAGCTAAATTTAAAGAACAATGCGATCTGACTAGACTTTGTCCCTTGGTCCCCTTTGTCTGACTTTGTCCCTAGATTTCTGAGGACTCATCAGTCCAATCAGCCTCTATTTGGTAGCATTTGAAAGCCTGGAGTTTCCTCTTTAAAACTATACCAAGAGTTGGCCATTCACCCACCCAACAATCGAGCAAATAGCGGTTACTGTCGAGTGTTCACGCCTTTTCGCATCGTGACGCAAGAAATGAATGAGAACGCTCAGTGTTCCACCACCGGCTTTCAACAAAGCCAAAATCGGGGTAGAAGATTGAGCGGTTTCATCGATCAGTACTAAAGTCAGTGATTACTGCAGTAGATAGCTGATACTGCTAAAGGAATTGATGCTAATGGTGACTTGATCGATTTTTTTCTGTTCTTAGTGTTCTGCTAGGTGTTCTAATAGTTTTCTGCTGTTTCTGCTAGCTGTTTTTACTTTTGTGTACTTCTCAAAACTAGAAACGCATCTTTTCTGGCGGACAAAAGCATTCACTATTAGTATTAGAGTATCTCGCAGTATTAGATCTCGAGTATTAGATCATGTAACAATGCAAAAATGACAGAATTCAGTGCAATGACAGAATTCAGTGCACCAGAAAAGCATGTTTCTACTCCAGAGAACAAAGTACACAAAGTAAAAATGGTTTTGGCTTTAGTGTTGGCCTTGAAAAGTGGTTTTGGCTTTAGTTTTGCCCTTGAAAAGTGCTCCAATAGTCGATAGCTTGGGCTCCATATGGTACACTATAGAAGTGCACACTTTGGAGCCTTGGAACTTGGCTTGGAAGTGCACACTTTACAGTAATCCACTAGGAATCTAGGGTATTCAAAAGCTCATTTATAACTTCTTAACATTTATAACGCCTTACATTTCTTGTGCGCTTGTTGAATCGATCCAACATCTTCATTTGGGATCAACTCGTAGAGAGATGTGTCAATCAGTGAACTTCCCGAATAACCCAACGCTTCAGCGGCTCTAAATCTTCAACTTCAACACTCTCGTCAACACACTTTCGTCAATTCTCACCTTAATTCAATGAAAATGATCTTAAAAGCAAGATCGAGTCGAATCGCGAATTTGTGTTCATTGATGAGAATCTCCATTGAGCCACCACTTTCCTAAGAAGCTCGCTTGTCTTTTGATTGAATCGATTAGATAGTAGATAAAGTCTCACCAAAGTAGTGCAATAGAAGATGATGTGTTCAATGGATGTGGGCGAGTTGTTGGCGTTGAAGCGGAGAAAAGCGGTCGCCTCGACAGCCTGAAGCCATTCTTGCATTTACCTTTTTTACCGCAGCCAACACACGATCCAAGAGCGGCACTAGCCTTTGCTTAAACAGGATCTATCTCCAGCAGATTCCCGTAGATTCTTCGACTTTTTTTACAACAACCAGATCTAGATCGATTCCTCTAGATCGTCTAGATCAAGTCAAGCTTAGCCTAGCCAACGATAGCTCAGATAGAGTTGCAGATCGTTTAAAAACTAATTATAAGCTGATTGTGAGCAGCTGATTAGTTGACGTTGATGCCTATATTAGCTTGGCTGGACTTTGACTTTGACTTGGCTCCATTTTGAGAGTGGAAGCTTGTGAGCTATGGCTTAACATGGCAAACTGGAGCTCAGAGTTTTTGAATTTCGATTCTTAAAGCTTAAAGGATTCTTCTTCAATGAATTTCGATTCTTAAAGCTTTCAAGCATTCCCATTTCTATATTTCTATATTGTAAAGAATCCTCGCAGTTAGTCCTTTTATGGGTTGGGGCTGAGAATGCAAAATGGAAAATGGAAATGGTCAGCACCAGGATTCGAACCCTGGACCTTGTTCCTGCTTCTGTCGCTTACCAGGGGAACGCTCTGCCGAAAGCTCTGCCGAAAGCTCTGCCGAAAGCTCTGCCGAAAGCTCTGCCGAAAGCTCTGCCGAAAGCTCTGCCGAAAGCTCTGCCGAAAGCTCTGCCGAAAGCTCTGCCAATGAGCTATAGACATCTTTTTCTTGCCGTCAAAATAGATTCTTATCCCTTCCTCTCACCTTTTTCCCAAACTTGAGCAATCCCGAGGCTCTCTTCGGCAGTCGACAAGTCATTCCCATCAAAATCGAGGCAGTCATTTCAGAGGTTTTCCTAGAATTCTTGAAAGTGCTTATTTTTGAAGACGACTTTATTTGCATTAGTTTAACTCACGGATCGCCTTTAATGTCAAGCAATTGTTTAAGCAATTTCCAATCATGATCAGAGATCAATTCTGATAAGTGACAGCCAAGTGTCGAAACCTAAAACAGCTTAGCTTTCAAGTAACCAGCTTAAATTTTCGTTCGATAGAAACGATCTTCGAAACCACTTTTTCTGGGGTAATTTTATCTCTAGATTCCGAAAAACACAAAGAAAGCTTGGAAAAATGCGTTTTAAGTCAATTTTCAGGGCTCCAAAGTGATCCAGTGTGATGAAAGGGATACACATAGGGAAGAGGTCTAAAAATGGTCACTCAAAGCATTTTTTTGAAGCCAAAAACACTTCTTTTTGTATAATTTTAGCTGCTGAATACGTTTCTGATCAAATTAAAGTAAAAATTTTTTTTTTTAATTTTCTAAATTTTGACCATGTACTCCCCCACATGAGTCAAAAACTCTAAAAATATTTTTTCAATTTCTTTTCCTTCTACAAGTCAATTTAAGTTCGAAAATCAATTTTTAATGGTTAAAAATGGTTTTGGTTTTAGTTTTGCTTTAGTGTTGGCGTTGAAAAGTGGTTTTGGCTTTAGTTTTGCCCTTGAAAAGTGCTCCAATAGTCGATAGCTTGGGCTCCATATGGTACACTATAGAAGTGCGCACTTTGGAGCCTTGGAACTTGGCTTAAAATGCATTTTCTCAAATTTTCATTGTATTTTTCGGAATCTAGGGATAAAATTACCCCGGAAAAAGTGATTTTGAGGAAAAGGAAAAAAATCGGGCTCTCTTGCCAACTAGGTTAGAGATAGAGATAAAAGATTTGTGAATAGCCAAGATGATATTGTGAATGAGATTTGTGAATAGCCAAGCCTGTGAATAGCCAAGATGTGCTGCCGCAGTCTCGGTCACATAAAGCACATCGCCCATTTGTTTCACCAAAATGCAAAAACCGTCTAGTGCCTGAATTAAGGATAGATAAAGTAACCTGAATAGTATCAAAGATACAGTAATCGTTACAGTATGCTTAGCAAAGCATTCAGTACAAAAATGAATCTGTTTGAATGCCGCCATTCATTGACTCTAAATGTTTTCCTTCTGGACTGTAGTACTGTAGTGTAATGTAGTGAACGACTGTAGTACTGTAGTGTGATGTAGTGGCTTACAGTATCCTTAGTAATTAGCAGGCTTACAGTATCCTTAGTAATGATCAGGCTTACAGTATCCTTAGTTTTCGTCTCGACTGTAATACTGTAGTGAACGAATGGCTTACAGTATCCTTAGTAATTAGCAGGCTTATAGTATCCTTAGTTTTCTTCTGGACTGTAATACTGTAGTGAACGAGTGGCTTACAGTATCCTTAGTAATTATTAGGCTTACAGTATCCTTCGTTTTCTTCTGGACTGTAATACTGTAGTGAACGAGTGGCTTACAGTATCCTTAGTAATTATTAGGCTTACAGTATCCTTAGTAATTAACAGGCTTACAGTATCCTTCGTTTTCTTCTGGACTGTAATACTGTAGTGAACGAGTGGCTTACAGTATCCTTAGTAATTATTAGGCTTACAGTATCCTTAGTAATTAACAGGCTTACAGTATCCTTCGTTTTCTTCTGGACTGTAATACTGTAGTGAACGAGTGGCTTACAGTATCCTTAGTAATTATTAGGCTTACAGTATCCTTAGTAATTAACAGGCTTACAGTATCCTTCGTTTTCTTCTGGACTGTAATACTGTAGTGAACGAGTGGCTTACAGTATCCTTAGTAATTATTAGGCTTACAGTATCCTTAGTAATTAACAGGCTTACAGTATCCTTCGTTTTCTTCTGGACTGTAATACTGTAGTGAACGAGTGGCTTACAGTATCCTTAGTAATTAACGGGCTTACAGTACCTTCAGTTTTCGTCTAGACTGTAGTACTGTAGCGAACGAATGGCTTACAGTATCCTTCGTTTTCTTCTGGACTGTAATACTGTAGTGTAATGCAGTGAACAAGTGGCTTACAGTAGTTAGTAATTATCTGTAACAGATCCTTAGCAATCATCAGTAACAGATCATAGATATTCAGTCTTAGAAAACAGCTACACAGCTAGAAAAAATACCTGCAAAATCAGGCTGCTGATATCGTTGATCTTCGGCATTTTGACATCTTTTTCATCGTCTTTCGCCTTTTCTGCACGCTTTTCGATGGCTTGCGAGAGAAAGCTATGAGTCTAAAACAAGCTATTCAAAATATCTAGTTAGATAAGTTTTAAAAAGCTAATAGCAAAAAGAACAAACAATAGCTAACCTCCAAATAAGCACAAGTCACGCGGAGAACCGATGCTCGATCGGTGTGCCGGGTGACGACTCGTTGAAGCGGGAGATAATCTCTCAACTCGTCAATCGCTGCCAAAAGTTTTTGCTAAAGATCAAACATTGTCGCCTCTTCGAGACAGGCGCTAATAAGTTTCTGAGTTTCTCTTAAAACATTAAAACCATTAAATCCAAGTTCTGATTGATAGAGTTAATAAAATGAAGATCTCCGATCGATTGCCCGATCCCCGCTAACAAATTCACAACTGAATAACTTCTTTTTGTAGAATCTATAAAACAAAAGAGAAATCCGTATGTAAATTCTTTGTGCGGCCGCGTAATCGCTCTCTATCTGGCACATGCCGTCGATACATAAGATTTCTTTGATTTTCAAAAAATTTCGATTGATCTAGGGGACCCTACCGTATTTCCTCTAATAAAAACCCCCGACCAACTTTAGACGTCTCGTTCCCGACCCTATTTTAAGAGATTTTGATGTTTAACATATCAAAAGATAGCCCTTAATGTGTTCTATCTTTTAGTATATTAAACATAAAAATATCTCAAAATGCGGCTGAGAACAAGGCGTTGAAAGTTGGTGGGGGCGCTCGACCCCCCTCGACCCCCCGCCCCGTCGACCCCCGCCCCCACCAACTTTAGACGCCTCGTTCTCAGCCTCATTTTGAGATATTTTTATGTTTAATATACTAAAAGATAGAACACATTAAGGGCTATCTTTTGATATGTTAAACATCAAAATCTCTTAAAATAGGGCTGAGAACGAGATGCCTAAAGTTGGTCGAGGGTGAGAGCGTTTATTAGAGGAAATAATACGGCATCTATTATTTTCGGCGGTCGATTTTGGGGTCTCGAAAACTAGACGGGCATGCTCTTCTATTAGAATAATTACGGTGCTTGCTTAAAACTAAAGCTAAAACTCTAAAATTCGTAAAAAAAAAGCCAATCCAATACCTTTTGATATCAATTTATATCTATTAGAGTGCATGGGAAATGATGCGTTTACCGTTTAGCACAAAGTACACACAAAAATAAGTTCTGCTTACCTGAGCCATTCGCAAAACTTTACAAAGAGCCACAAAGTGTTTAAACTTTTCCACTTATCGAATTCATAGGCGATCCGGCATTCATTAGTGACATTTTCAAAGGGGGAAAAGGGGCAGAATGGTTCTCGAAAAAGCACTGAATATTCATATCAAAATCGGGAAAGGAGCTTCCTTTGAAAAAGATCGGTTTTCGGTTCGAAAATCGATCGGAAAGCTACAGATCTTTAAGCGAAAGATTCTAAAGACACAGATCTTAAAGCTATAGACCTTAGAGCTATAGATCTTAGAGCTATAGCTCTTAAAGCTATAGATCTTAGAGCTATAGATCTTAGAGCTATAGCTCTTAGAGCTATAGATCTTAAAGCTATAGATCTTAAAGCTATAGATCTTAAAGCTTAACAAGTTCTCTTTACTTATCAAAGCCATTTTCAGATCCACAAATGGTCGCACACGTATTTCGGCCTCTCGAAATGGGTGATCGCTTTGCAACGCGCGCACATCATTCTCCCGAGACATCATCACAAAGTGAGTCTATTTACAGAAGCACTGCAGTAAATCAAAGCTTACGAGAAGTTACAAGAATGGTCAGAAAGTGAGCTTGGGATTTTCGAACGACTGTTAAACTGTTTTTCTCATTACATTTAAGATAAATTGTAGTATTGTTAAACATTGTCAAGCAGCACGAGAAAAATACGAAAAAAAATCGCACGCCGGGATCGAACCCATGAGCCAGATGAAGACGTTGGTTTCATAGCCCAACTCACTACCCACTACACCAACTCGCTCGTCGGGATGAGGGGCAAAAAGCCTCTTTTAACCCCTTGAAAGAGGCTTCTCGCCTCTTTTGATTCCTCCGTTTTCCGAGTATATGCTTAAATTTGCAACACGTTTTTCTTGAAAACCATTACCCGTGCGCAAAAACCAAAAGCCCTATCGTACTCACCGTACTCGACTTGTGTTTGCATCGCATTTTCGTCTCGAAATCTCACGCTCACTTCTGACGATGCAAAATCATGCACAATTTGGCAAAGAAGTAGCAAAGAAGCAAGAAGTGACAAAGAGTCGAATATCTTTATAAGGCTTACGCGCGGGCTGGATTTCAATGGCTACGTGGTGTAATGGATAGTGAGTTAGGAGACGAGGTAGCTGTTCAAGTGTTTGAATTCTTCGAAAAGCTCCTTCTTTTTGGATCTATTCGGTGTTTCCTGTGTGCACTGAAATAGAATAAACAGTGCTAGCATGGTAAAGATTTGCTGGCAATCGGTGTATTCAACAACATAGAGGAGACTAGAAGCTAAGAGCTAGCAAAGAGATTGTAAGAGATCTAGCTAAAAGCCAGTCAAAAAACGATAGGCTTCGAGTCCTCGACTATCCATCAGAACTATCATACTCTTTTCAGATCCATCACATTTCACCACACGCCTGCTATTACTGTATCACGACAGGATGGTTGAATTACCCGCTTGAAGTTATCGATTTCTGGAGAAGAGCCGAGGTTTGTGCCTATCATTTCCGAGCAATGTAGAAACGATGATTTCAAATAGAAAGTACAAATTGCTCAGCTTCAACAAAACCTACTCTCCAAATTGAATTAATTCCAGAAAACGGTCACTTATTTGACAGGAATGCAGCCACGAGAAGATGACATGAAATGGGCAACTAAACTCAAATAAAAGGCCTCATTAAAAAAGAATTTTTGCTCATTTTTCGCCAAAATGTTCCTTATTCTTTTTTCTGATTACAATTCTTGCTCATTTTAGATGATCGATGATTGATTGTGGTTCTTTTTCTGAAGATTCAAATATTTGTGTATCTGAAAAGCCTTTCCATTAAGTGCAATCATGATTTGAGGCTGGAAATTTGCGTTTTGAATCAATTTGGCAAGATATTCAACCAAAAGATCACCAAAATTTTGATTCAAAATACAAAATCCCGTCTCTAATCGTCATTCTTTTCTCGTTGATTCTTGCATTTTAACAAAAATCTAAATCTTCCCGAATTTACTCTTTTTAAAACTTTTAGGATTTTTTAGAGTGAATTGTGAGCACAAATTATTAGCGATATATCAAATTTAATGTTTTGTTTCGAATAAATAAGTTGTCAAGAGAAAAATTTATCAACAAGAAAGGTTAAACATTCAAAAACAACTAAAGTAACTAACAATTGACTACTAACAACTAGACTTTTACCGATAAGATCTTCGTTTGAAGCTCGGTGGTGGTGGCGCATGTAAATCGAGTAGAGAACGTGGAATTTCTTGTTGGGTTTCTTGAAGTACTTCGATCAGATCGGGCACTTTGTGCGATTCTTCCGGAGTCACAAACGAATAAGCAACACCCTGAAACAAAAATGAAACCTTTCGAATCAACAGCTTGAATAAGATTTATATGATTGTTACTCAATTCAATCAAAATCTTTAAAAACTCTTTCGCAAAACAAAAATGAACGTGTTTTACTCCTCAAAATCTAAACTAACCGTTCTACCAGCCCGTCCCGTTCTTCCAATGCGATGCACGTAATCCTCCGAGTTATTCGGGTAGTCAAAGTTGATCACGTGCTCGATATCATCCACATCTAAAGTAATTTATTTTAGCCAGTTAGCATTTAAAGAAAAGAACATTAAGAAAACTAACCCAATCCCCGAGCAGCCACATCTGTAGCAATTAGAATTCCAGAAGCATCACGTCGGAACCCTAAAAACTTTCTTCAATTGTTTATTTGGAAATTTTATTTAAGAAAGATGAGATGCTAAGCCTTAACAAACAAACAAACTTAAAAGTTACTTTGCATAATTGTGTCCCGTTGCAATTGCGTTTTGTCTCCATGCAGACTCAATGCTTTGTGTCCGAAATGCCCAAGGAAGGTCGCCAATCGATCAGCCGCCACTTTTGTTTGCACGAAAATCAACGTCTTGTTGTTTTCCTAAATTTGAAATATTAATTTATTTAAGTAAATGAAATCAAAATCAAACAAAAAGATTTACCTTTGAAAATATATTTTCAATCAAATGCTTTAGACGATCCCTCTTCTCACGACCATCTACAACTTCGACAATCTAAATGAAAACTTTAATATTGTTTACAAGGCTTCTACGAAATTTCAATTTACACTTCAACGGAACAAAGACTAGGTAAGATTTTTGCGATATGATTTTTGCGCAGAACATTATCTGATCTAAAATGAATCAATTACCTGTTTAATATCCGGATTTGCTGACAGTTCCATTGAGCCAACATTCAGAAACACTTCGTCCTTCAAGAAATCCCGCGCAAGTTTTTGCACTTCTTTTGGCCAAGTTGCTGAGAACATTGCCGTTTGACGATCGGGCTAAATGTTATTTATTTTTGTTAAAACACAGGCTTGATTCAAAACCAAATGAACATACCCGAATTTGCGAAAGAACACTGCGTACTTGTGGCTCAAATCCTAAAATGTATTTAGTCTTTGTTACAAAATTAAATAAAAACCCATGTCAAGCATCCGATCAGCTTCATCGAGCACCACATATGAACAATTACTAAGTAACAAAATTTGAAAAAGAGAAACGAATCAAATGATACCGTAAATCAATTGTTTTCGTATTCAAATGATCAAGTAATCGTCCTGGAGTGGCAACAACAACATCGACTCCTTTTGCCAGAAAGTCCTCTTGAGCAAATTTGCTGACACCGCCGAAAAGAGTTGCATATTGAAGATTCGAAGCTTTGATACATGACCTGAAATAAGAAAATAATAACACAAGGATAATTGTCAACTTTTAAAAAGTTCCGGACTTTTATCAGCATAACTTCAATGCATACTTTTAAAACATTCACAAAACTTTAACGCACTTTGAAACTTCAGATACTTGTTGCGCAAGTTCTCTTGTTGGAACCAATACGAGAATAGTCGGCGAACGAGGCGAACGAAAAGAGCTTTTTGGAAGATTTTGATGTGACATGTGCTCAAGCGCCGGAAGCATGTACTAAACAAAGATTTCGTTTTATTGTTTTAAAAACGTTTTCTAATAGCTTTATCACCAATCAAATTGCTCAATCATTACTTGTCATTTTTAGGTGTGCCGCTCTGTTGCCCTTTTTAAAAGCACTTCGTTCTATTGAGCATTAAACCTTTAAAATAGCAATTTTAAACTTTTAAACAACCATTTTTTTTTCAAGCTTATACAGGGTGGCTAATAAGTATTGTCGCGTGCTTGAACGCGTGCTACTCCTCGAGGTTTGTTTCAAATATTATGGGTAACATACCAAAATGTTTCCAAAATGTCTAGCGAATCTAAATATATGCATGGATTTTTGAGACAATTACTGTAAAAGATTTTATTGCGATTCTTGTGCTTTTCAAAAAGGCACTTTGCCTGAGGTCAATTCTAAGCTTCTCATACAAGTAGAGTTTTTATTTATTCAGCTAACTTTTTCAATTTTGCTCCAAAATGTTGCCCTTAAAGTTTTCTTACTGAAATAATTTGGAATTTGGCTCAAAGTAACGATTTAAAAAAATTGTAATGTTCTTTATGGCTCTTATTTTTCCTCCCTTAGAAAAAAAGCAAAAAACAGGTGTCTAAAAGCCAGCCAAATATGATCTTACACACCCGGTTTTGAACTTTAAAAAAATTGGTACCAAAATTAAGCAAAAGTTCGATCTTCTGAGCATCGTTCACAAAAATATTTTGAACTAAACTTTAAAAAAAGAGCAGCGGAAAAAGTGGCTTTTTTGAAAAGCACAAGAATAGCAATAAAATCTTTCACAGCTATTGTCTCAAAAATCCATGCATATATTTAAATTTCCTAGAGTCTTAGCAACATTTTGGTATTTTACTAACGAGAGTCGGAACTAACCTCAAGGAGTAACACGTGTTCAAACACGCGATAATACTTATTAGCCACTCTGTAGAACAAAAAGCTTACTGCCAACGTTTTTCCGGATCCTGTTTGCGCTATTGAAATAATGTCGAGTCCACTCATCAAAACAGGCCAGGATATTGATTGAATCGATGTTGGTGTCTAAAATTATTGAATTCCAATTTGCAAAAAAAATCGCAAGTTTTAACCTGAAAGTTGGAGAGTTCTCGCAAAATCCTTGGGTTGAAATTTGCTTCACCAAAAGAAAATACGGGTCGCGGAATGTTATTGCCTTTCATCGTCACCTTGTTCGTCGAAAGCCAATCGTCGATCTCTGTCTAAATAAAACTTCATTACTGAGCCAACAAACACATTCACATAAACTGTTAAACCGTGGCTAAACCTCCAAATAATAAAAGATACAAAGCATTTCTACTATCCAAACAAAGACTGATTTAACTTTTTTAGCTTTGTCAATCAATATTCAATGTCATTGAATTTTAGCAAACCTGTGCTCGTGAAGTGACATCCGCGTGTTCCTTGTAGTGATTTTTGATAATCGGTCGTAGACTTGTCTCCTGCCAATCGACTTTGCGAAGATTTTGTGTGTTGCTGTTGCTTTGCCTCAAAGATCGATTTTTCGTGAAACCTCCTTGATATTTTCCATAGCTCGTATCTAAACAAGTACTGTAAATTGGAGAAATGATTGGACCAGACGCTTTACTGATAAAAAGCCTCACTTCCAAAGGAGCTTCTGCGCAAATCCACAAACGGAGCACGAGAGTTACTGGGTCTAAAATTAAAAGTTTACAAAAAGCTTATTATTCATTCTATCTAATAGTAAACGTGCATGTTAATACTCGTACAAAAATTTCTGCAGGCTTCAAAATGTTAAAGCATTAAGTTAGTGGTTTACTTTACCTAACTCGAGTCTTAAAATAAAAAAAACCTGTCATAATTCCTTTGATATCGATCGTATTCCGTATCTTCATGTGATGATTCGTTCCGCCAGGCAGATCGAGCTAAAACTTGAAATTAGTTACGCAGATAATAAGCAACAATCAGAACTTTTTTGATTCACAAGGGTAAATCTTACTGCTCTATAATCTAGTACTAACTGCAAATTTTTTCTGGTCCAAAAAGCCGGTTTTACACGCAAACTGATAACATTTTACCTCCATTTCGTAGAGCGCCCGCCGTTGAGATTGTCCGTCGCAGCAATGCTAGCGCTTTCATATCTGGAAGTTAACCATTTAGATAAGAGAATGACAAGGAAAACCCGTTAAAAACGAAAAGCAACCTTTCTAAATGATATTTAATGTTAAAAACTTGTAAAAATGAAAATTAGATAGCTATTTTAGCTAGTTTTCATGACTAAACGAGTTTTTAGCTGTTGAAATTGAGCGCATTTAATATGGTGAAAGAGTGGGAGCTACGGTGCGTTATCCATTTGATTCTCTGCAAATTTCATAATGCAACAGACAAGACTAAAACTCTGGTGTTGAAAAGCTAAAGAAAAATAATTTACAAGACTTAAAACATTTTCTGGGGTAATAAGCAATGTCGAATCGATTGGTGACTATTTTACGGCTATAAGGGTATGTTTTATACAAGCTGCGCGGTCTAAACTTTAGACTTTAAAGTAAAAACATGAACAACAGAGCAATAACTGCGCCAAAAGAAAAGCGCAAAACCATCAATAAAGATTTTTGGTGGACTTGCAAACCATTTTTAGTGCAAAGACAATGATCTTCGTGAGTCTGAAGGTTCTCACACAAACATATTCCAGCACGCAATCACAAACACAAAGTTACACAAAAAACAGTAGTCCCTGGTTGATCATCATGATCAAATTGCTGCTTTTTGACGATTCTTATGTGCTTGTCTTCGATGTCGTCTTTACCGATGGCGTTGCCAAGCTCCTCAGGGTCAACGGCGTTAAAACCATCCGCATCACGATGGTCAAGATCATCTAAAATTCAGTATTGTATTTCGGTATGTATATCGGCTTGGAGAATCCGGCAAAAAAAAAATTACAATTATTATACTGTTCGAGATTTTTCCTCTCAGCCATGAGTAGATCGTCAATGAGCTCGCCTTGCTTTAGATGGGTTCGGAGAATCCAATCCTTGACCATGGTTTTTGCATCACATTGGTTGAAGGATTCTTGCTGGTCGTGCAGCCAATTCTTCGACATTGCAGCTCGTTAATCCACTTTCGCTACTTTTGTCAAGGGCAAGACGAGTGTCGAAGCAGTGACGTTGAAAAAATACCAACCTTAATAAATTCCAATAAAACAGCAATAATCTAAACATACAAAAGTATTTACCTGGAAGAAAAGAGTTGGCCCTTCCCCTTCAGCATAACATTGAGCATCCTCCAGAGTATATCGTTTCTTTGTCGGGTCACGCATGATATCGCGTCTAATGAGGTGACTCAGGGAGTCCCATACACACTAGAAAAACATACAATTCACTCATCGATTCCCATAAAGACGCAATTTACATTTGCACTGATCACTACAACCCCAAAAACACTCACATTTCCTTGCTTGATCACTAGGCTGAGCTCATCATCGAAAGTCATCTTATCATCAGGAGTCAGACCGTGATACTCAAATGCGAAGAAATGCTCAAACACGACAGATTTGATGTCCCACCAAGGATTTCGCACCTTTGCGGCACAGCTGATCCACTAAAAAAACAAATATGTGAGTAGCAAATTCAAAAAATTTTTTTACCATGAAAAGCACTTTCAAATTCCGCACGAGCTTGAGACGGTCATCTATAAGAATAAGATACGCGGGCGCGATGATTAGTTGTGATGATTAGTCTATTACTTAATAGACTAATGGGTTCTTTTCCAATATCGGGGGAGCGGTCCGATTATCGGGGGAGCGGAAGGAAAATCGGGGGAGCAAATTTTGCCCCCTCGAAAAATGCATTTCTGGGACTTTTATTTTAACTGCAACGTTTTTTTTTTTAATTTTTTGGCAGCGCTACATATGTCCTATATTATCCAAAGTACTGCCATAAAATCCGCGAATTACCCGTTATTCTCACAACCTTTATATTAGATCACAAAAGTGACTTAAATATCTAACACCAAACATACCTCTACCTTCCCTATCGGCCGCCTTCTCTTTTTGCCGAACGCTCCACAATCCCGAACGAACAAATGGCTACCTAAAAATTTATTCATTAATAGTATAATTGATCATAACAACGAAAGAAATGTAAGCGAAGTAACCAAAACAAAAACAAAAGTAACCAAAACAAAAAGAAAAGTAACCAAAATAAAACAAAAGTAACCAAAACAAAAGTTTAAAAAAAAAACGTTGCAGTTAAAATAAAAGTCCCGAAATGCATTTTTCGAGGGGGCAAAATTTGCTCCCCCGATTTTCCTTTCCGCTCCCCCCGATAATCGGACCGCTCCCCCGATATTGGAAAAGAACCGACTAATGAAGTGTTTAATGCTTTGTTTCATGCTTTGAATCACTCTTTCAGTTAAAAGGATTTCAAATAATGACAGTTGAATCGTTAATTTCAAGTTACGACAGCTAGCTGCTTTCTTTATTTGTTTCTCAAACTTTCTCATACTCAAACTGTCTTGATATGATCTAAATCAACCAAAATTGTTCAACATCCACTCTTTTCTCATTTTCACATGATGTATATAAAGAAAGAGATACGTATAAGACCGATTTTGTGTCGTCACACGAGCACAATTGCGACGGGGAGACAAAGTGAGCGAAAATTGGGGCTCATTTCGGCGGGTGTTGGTGCAAGATGGGGAAAGTGAATCGACTCTCTCATCGATTCACACAAACGACCATCTCTATTTTACACTTAAACTACGCTGATTGCTTACTTTAGCGTTATTTACTTGGTTCAATAAATTAGAAGGTAAAGAAATATAGAAAAAAGTTGTTTTATTAACCATAGACCTGGAATCCGATGAATGGCCTCATCACGCTTCTTGTTTCTGTTTTGTTTGTGTATAGCTGTCAATCAGGTAAAGGCGATTTTATACAGTGGTCCCTGTTTTTGAATGCCTACCGTAAATACTGTAATAGTACCCCACCCCCATAATGACGGTGCGGAGCGTTGTGTAGTCTAGCTTTGAACGCGTTTTTCTTGACACTGGTTTATGCTACAATGTTCGTTTTGGTTTCAAAAAATAGCTGAAATTCAGGGCTATTTTTTGATACCTATTGTAGCATTCTAGCATAAACCAGTGTCGAGAAAAACGCGTCCAAAGCTAGACTACACAACGCTCCGCACCGTCATTATGGAGGTGGGGTACTATTACAGTATTTATATGAGTATCTAATTTATAAACAAATACAGTTTATTTATGTACAGATAACAATTAAAAAACTGGAACAAAAAGTTTAACAAAAATTTGCAAATAGCCTCCGCAAAAGTAATGTCCTATCAACAAAAAACCAAAAAAAATAAAAAGTAAATCAGAACTTGAGCGTCCCTTTGCTTTCACCACTTCTTGAATTTTCTCTGGCATGGAATTCGCGAGATTCTCCAAAAGATTTTTCGGAATGGTCGACCAAAGACGTTGAATGTGAAGGGCCGCTTGACTGAGCGACTTGATTGACTCAAACTTCTTTCCCTTGAGCCAGGACTTCACAAAAGACCACAAATGCTCAATTGGGTTGAGAGGTGGATTGATCAATTTGACTCGATTCGCCGCAAACCATCCGGGTAAACGAGCCCGGGCGCCATTTCGTAGATCGTAGATTTCGTAGACCATCGTACCCATCAGCCTTGACTTGTGTTTCGGGTCATTGTCCTGGTAAAGCATCCATCCGGGAGGCATCGTTTGTGTGGCAAGAGGAAGCATATGAGTCTCCATGATCATTTTGTAAGCATTGGCATCCATCGTTGCGTCTACGCGGATTAACGAAACTACTACATTTCGCACCTAGAAAAGAACAATAAGTCACCGAAATTAAAAGCAAACTCTTACCCCAACACATCATGTTTCCTCCATTTAATTTCAATGTCGGGCAAATGTGAATATCGCTTTCCAATCGGTCGCCGGATAAGGTGATTGCCGTCTGCGCGAAATAAATTCATTTTTCTCATCTCATCAGTCTCATCAGTGAAAAGCACTTTCGTCCAACTTGCGTCCAACTTGCAGAACTTGGACCGTCCAACTTGCGGAACTTGGACCGCCCAACTTGCGGAACTTGGGCCGTCCAACTTGCGGAACTTGGGTCGTCCAACTTGCGGAACTTGGGTCGTCCAACTTGCGTAGGTCCTTGAAAACTGGAGGCGCTGTTTTCGATGCTCGATTTTTGTCAGAAGTTTTTGCGCAGCCCTCATTTTGTACAATCCAGCACGATTCAATCGTCTTCCGATCGTATCCGGTGAAACAATCTTGCCGAAACGATCCTTCATGTACTTCTTGCCATCAGTAGCATTGTGATTTGGGTGCTGTTTCACGAAATTCACTACTGCCCGATCTTCCCTCATTGTTGTAATCGGAGGACGGCTGCTTTTGAAGCCTCTATCAAGATTTCCACCGGTTTCTCCTTGTGCAAAGATCCGCCGAAAGGTCCGGGTTGAGCACTTGAAGAGTTTTCCTGTCTTCTCCTCGGACATTCACCTCGACGAGCTTCTCTCACCTCGACCGCACCTCGACGAGCTTCTCTTTATCCGTGGTAAAGAGATTTGACTTACCCATCATCTAAACAATAAACTATGACTCCAAAAGTAAACTTTAAAAAACACAAAAATAAAAAAGATGCGCATAGGACAATACTTTTGCGGAGCCGATTCTCGACCTGCTGTCGATCTTTTGAGCACAAGTTCTTTTAGAATAAAGTTGGCTTTGTGAAACTTTGGCACGAGAAACTAGAAGCATTTTGAGACTTGAAGAAATAAAATCCAAACATATTGCTTTTGACTTTTGCATGGCAAACAGCACAGTTATCTTTTGATTACAGTCACAACTGAAATTCAAGTCCCCACCTCAGAATGATCCATCGTATAGCCGGAATTCTTGATTCGATCTTGTGGTGTCTGTTGCAATGTAGCTGTTGTGCTGACTGGAGATGCCTCTGTACATCCATAAAGCACTTGAATTCTAAGTCAAACTCTTAGGCAAATTCTTAAGTCAAACTTTTCACGTTTTTTTCATTTACCTATATTCAATGCATTTA